CTCCATGGTTTTTCGTTCCTTCGGACAACAATCGTATCCTGAAATTGCAGGATTGGTCACGTAGTGCTTCGAAAAATCAATTTCATACAACGTTTGTTTTGCCGAGACCGAGAGGGGCCATTTATTTGGAAATCCGATGACACAGTGATTGCTGATCTCACATGATTTCATGCAATCTTTGATTTCATGCGATTGAAAGAATTATATTTTTCAAAAGAATTATTAGAAATTCTTATTGTCAAAAGAATTATTAGAAATTCTTATTGTCAAAAGAATTATTAAAAATTTTTATTGTCAAAAGAATTATTAGAAATTTTTATTGTCAATAGAATTATTAGAAATTTTTATTGTCAAAAGAATTATATTTTTCTCTCAGTGCATTATCGAAACATAAGCGAAGACCGGAAATTGTCCATTTTAGTTATCGAATGTTGACTTCCGTCCATGCTGTTGTTGGTGGCATTGTTTATTATGATAATACTAACTTATCTTTATCGAGTAATGTGAAGTTGAGTTAGTGAACTTGTTCAAAAGATGATAAAAATTATGGACGCGAGTTTGCAAACAGGGGAAAATAATTTTAATAGCCGAGGAGGTTTCAAGGATCTACTTTTTTCTCGGCTTGAGTTTGAGAAGAACTTGTTGGTATCTTCGGTGAGGGGTGGAGTTTTATTATCGAGATCTTCGTGTATTGGGAAAAGTAATCCATAATACAAAGAAGTTTCTTCCTTCTACTGGATATAAATATTTATCAACAAATTAAGAAGTAATTTTCTGGGACGGGACTTGAGTAATATGAAGTATCGTGTTTGTTTTACATTCAGTCAATGTTTGCACTCAATTTTAATCAGTATTTATGATGCACTAATTTAATTTCCACTGAAATTTCGGGGATTGAAATTTCTGCAATGAATTTGAAAATTCTAGATGTCCTTGCAATATCAGTGGCAGTCTAACATGGAAAACCCAATTATTCTGAATTTCCAACCCGAATGAGAGATTCCATGAACGATTTGATTTTAAATTGAATTCAAATTCACAACATTGAGAATTCAAGCACAACTATTCCTTGATTTTCAAAAAACTTCAAACAGTCTGGGGAGTGGGAGGAACTGCATCAAGAGACTTCATTCTCTCGATTCTAACGATTTTTCGTGAGGTAGCGAATTAATATCAGCTTTGCAGTAAATTCCCGAGCGCGCAGCGCTTAATCTGCAAGACTATGCAACAAAACATTCGGAAAATATCCGATAATTTTGAAGGTCTTGGGGTATTATAGCTGATTATTCCAGTGGATAGCAACGAGAGGGATAATTTTCACTGTTCGTGTGATGAAAAAAATATACATCAAGAATAAGAATGAATCTAATTACCTTAATCTAATCCTGAAGACGGAAAAGGGGAAAAAATAAAATAAAGTAATATAGTGTAAACTAATCTAGTTCGTTCGCTAGTGATAAAAATGGTAAAAAATCATAATGATAAAAATCATGAGCTACAACAATCTGTTTGTCGGGGCGTGAATGGATCCTTCTGTCCCCAGTAATAAAAACAAATCCACAATTCAATATTTCTCTCGAATATACCGATAAAAGGCCACTTGAGGCCGTTCTTTTATTCTACGAAACGGCAACATCAAAGTAGTTCCGAATGCCCTTGATCGTATTGATCTAATTCCACAAGGAGCGTTGTCTGTAAGTGCGAATTTCCGAGGGTGGGGTAAGATTCTATCGAGTAAGAAGGTGGGACTGGAGGCGGGAGAAGATAGACTGGACGACTGGAGTTAGAGAGTGAGAGAGAGATCATGGGAACTGGGAAGCGTTTGGATCCTCATATCATTACCAGAGCAGTTCTATTACCCCCTCGCTCGTTACCAGCAATTACTATCGACAAAGTCTAGGGTCTAGACTATTCCGTGGAAGATTCCGAGTTACGCCGGAGCAGACGATGGTTATTATTCACCCCCAAATGGTCTAGTATCGATCTATGACCTGATTATATTATTTTTAGGTGTCACCTGATTGTATTATTTTCCATAATCCGTTCTGCCGGATTATATCGACACTGAAATGACGAGGGGAGGTGGGAGATTTTTGTGTATTTTTTACACTGTTAAAAATTTTCCTCTAAACTTTCTGTGCCAAATTCTACAAATTTTTATCGTGCTCCACTGAAATTCTAGGAAATCTTGGCATGGAAAAATCAAATGGAATAATTTTTTATGGGATACAGGGTAAATTTTACAATTTCCCTGGAATTTTCCCTGGCCAAAGGACTAAAACTCACTATTAATCTCGCACTTTTTCTCCTATTTAAAATAGCTCTACCCTTACGGTAAATTCAATGATTATTGAACACTGCAAAAAAATAGCAGAAAATTCGATTAGATTCGGAAGGTGTTCTAGCAGTGAGTAATGTTCTAACAGTGTATTGGCTGAAATTAGGATCGGAAAAATTCTCAATGAAATCTGAAAATTTATGATTTTCCCGCCCAAATTGAATTCCACGTTCCTCTGCTCAAAAGAACAATTCAACTGTCCCTGAAAGTTCAATTTTTGGATAACAGTGTAGCAGGAACTATCGAGAATCAGTTCGAGAATCACTTCATTATTGGAAGAAATTTTCAAATAACATCTTTGCAATACGATGGATTCATCATCTGAAGTTTAATCAAGCCGTCGATGTGGAATACGAGACTGCTTGAACGGCTGACTTGCACGGAATACCGCCTCTCCACCCAAGGACATCGAAACAAATTCACGAAGTTGAGGAGAATCAACTCGAATTACCTCCGCCGTGACTCTCAACTCGAATCAACAAACCATAATTCTAATTGACTCCAGAAACTCTTATGGAAGAACAGAAATACCAAGAGGGTTTAAATCCAGTACATTACAAATTCAAATCAATAAATCCCACTCAATATCCGAAACCAATGACGCCGGTTATCAATTCAATTGTTACGTCACTCTATTATTGCACAATTGATAAACACGGTAATTAAATAATCTCTCAGCTATCCTCGATAAAAGAATCAGAGGAATTCAATGGGCCATTCAATTGAAATCTATCGCTCCATGGAGGAAAAAAAAAATTGAGAATAAAAATAAACAATTAAAAAATATTCAGAATGCATTGCGTTCATGGTTATCTCTCGGCTCCGGCAAATATCGAATAAATCATCTGAACTGTGGAATTCCAAACACGCTCGAGAGCACATACTCGTTGATCTCGCGTGCCATCAGATAATTATCACGAATAGCAGCGGCTTTGATAAGGATTGGAATGAAATAAAAACAGTAGAGGGAAAAAATAGAATGAACAATTTAAATACATTAAGGGGAGGCTACTGTGAGTTTTAAAATTCGAAGATCGATTATATGTGTCTAAAAACGAATAATCATGAATTATCATGTTTACATTGAAAATTCATGGAAATTTCGGAATCTTTAGGGTTCTTCCACTGAAAAATCAGGAATTTCATTGAATTTTCAGGGAAACTTGAAGTTTCATAGACTTTCTTCCGTTAAAGCGAACTCAGTACCGACGTCGGTGGCCGAAGCGGCTAGGTGCGAGCCTAGTGTGCGAAAGGTTGTGAGTTCGATTCCCCGTGGAACCGAGTTTTTCAACCGGAGGCTCCGGCGAGCGGGAGGTCGCTAATATAGTGAACGCCTGTACCGGCATGGGATTTCTGTGGTTTCCCATGCTACTCCTATGTTCTATAGGAGTGCGAATGCGGTGCAGTGTAGAATCCACAGCCGCATGCATAGGGTTGGATAGGGCCGATTAGCCAATCAGAGGGCAGAAAGGGCCGGAATAAAAAAAAAATCGAACTCAGTGTCATTTTCTGGAAAATTCATTTGAATTTTTTCAACAGTGCATACGGGTTTGAAAAAATCAAGGGATGTATTTAAAAAATCATCAATTTCTTGACTTTTTTCGAACCCCCTGACCACGTCATAAATACCTTTAACAGTGCCGATGAGTGGAAAGAAATAGGTGTCAATGCCTTCGGTGACTCCCCAGCATGAGAAAAATGGCACATTGGGTTGAGCAAAAAAAAGGAAAGACACATGGGGGTATACGTATTGAGCGCTGGACTGTCTTTTTCATCCTCGCCGCTATCTCGAAACACCATCGGGCATTTGGCGTAGCACTTCTGACAGCCGGGGAATAGTGACCAGGGGACATCCGGGATCGACCCTCTCTGGGCTCTAATACACCGGGTCACTCCATATATCGGAAAATAACTCATTTCTCACATCCATTCTCGACGTTTTTTTTATCCTCTCAAAAGGAGTGAGAAAAATTGGGGGAAAAAGGTGGAGCTTTTTTTGTCGCATATCTCCTGAGATTTCCATTCAAAATATCACTTCATTGAGTTCCCTCTCCCTCCACTCAACCAATTGCATTTTTAATGTACGAAAAAAGTACATTTTTATTTCACATTCCAAAGTTGAAATGATTCCTTTAAAATTTCGCAATACTCATTTTGCTGATTCCAAGAACTTTTTATTTGCGTACATAAAAGGCTCATAAACATCTCATGTTTTTTCCTTTCAAGCCTCTCAAATATTGTTCATTAAAGAATTTTGTTGGAATGTTTTTTATTTGCGGACAACTGCATTTGCGTAGACAGAGAGGAGAAAAGAATCGCAAAGCGGTTTTTTTATCTTCATGTGTTGTTTTAAGAAATTCCACGGGCCAAAGTTTGGCGAGAAAAAAAATTGAAGGGAGAAGGAAAAAAATAAAACCGTCAACTTACTGATATCGACAAAAATGACTCACAGGAGCGAGAGAGATAGAGAGAGAGAAATTCACATGCGGTAAGGCGCCAGGTATGAAGGCGCGTTTATTCAGTCGTTTCGTAGTGTTGTTTTGCTTTGGTGAATACGGGGCTCAGTGCCGGCAACACCGAGACACTAGAGAGAGATGGAGGGAGACCGGTCGTTCATATAAAACCAACCGATGACTCGCGCCTCGAACCAGTTGCTCTTTGCTAGTGCCAAGTGTTAGTATCGTTTCACGCCTTTAATTTTTTTGCGTGATATTCAAGTTTTTTTTTTAAATTCACGCCATCTCTTTTCGCTGGAGAGATCATTATCGCTGATGGTACATTAGGTATAAAAATTTGATAAGTGTCAGTGTGATTCAGTGATGTTGAGAGAAACAGTATTTTTTTGCACGCTTCAGTGTCACTTTTTGACAGCGTAATGGATGTATGTGAGTGACAGTGGATTATTTGGAGACGGCGAGAAAGAGAAATTGGATTTTTTTTATTCACGGGAAAACAAAAAGGTAAAAATATGATTGAAAATATTGGGGCAGAGGGAGAGTAACAAACGTACTGCAGTTTTGTGCAATTGGAGATGAAAAAAATTGTGTAAAAAAGCCGGTGGAAGCAATTGTGAGAGTGCGAAAAATTAATGGGATTGATTTGATTAATTAAACACGATTGAACTGCGCCCGGAAAATCTTTTGAAATTGCCACTACCGCAATGAGAAGTGTTATCGCGGAGTGATTGAATATTTTCTATACTTTTTCAATCCCCGATAAGCGAAACAAAAACATTAAGTCTGGCGTCTATCGATTGAATTTCGAGCGTGTCGATTCAACTCGCTATCTCACGTGCAGCGAATGCGTCAAATTTTCATTGACCTTTTTTTTTGTTTGGGTTACTGAGAGGGTCGTGCAAGTGATAATGTCGGGGTATTGATGAGAAAATAATTGTTGGGAGCGATAACACGTTTGTTTTCGCTAGTTCTGGCGGTTTTCAGCTCCAGATCGTGATTCGCGGGAGAAAAATTCTCAATGTCGTCTGTAACGCTGAACGATGCCTCCACAAAAATCCCACTCGATTAAGGGTGCCAAGTGAATTTGGCGATGACCTTGAAAATTGACATTCACCAACAAAGTTATAATTTTTTTAATTAATAGTATTAGACAGATGGTGAACATCGGTGACAATTTTCAAATTTTAGAACTTATGGATATCGAGAAATTAAATAAACAAAATCAGTCTTATACACGGCCTCTTATGGAGTTTTGATTAAATTGAACGTTTCAACCCCCTGGGAACTCAAGAAAAATTTGAAAAAATTTGAAGATATGGGGAATGATGTGTTCAATGTGGTGGCGATAAAAAACAAAGGGGTACCGGGATGAATAAGAGAGATATTTCAACCCGCCGTACCCATTTGATCCCATGCTTTCTCGAG